ATTAGCTACAGTGTGGGAGGAAAACACACACACACACACACACACACACACACACACACACACACACACACACACACACACACACACACACACACCTGGAGGGATCTTGCAGACGGTGGCAGGGTGCCAGCCGTAGCGTTGGTTACAGTTGGGGCTCTGGACAAAGATGGCACTGTCGCTGAGACACTCGGCAAACACTTCTCCTCCGATGTAATACAGCCGCACACCACGGCCTTGAAGGAAACAGACAGAACAAACTCCTCAGGTGAAATGCCTCAATATAGAAATGAGCATTAATTACAAAATCAAGAGAAAAGGAGCATCATATGCGCAGTAAATGGAGTCCTACCAATATGTCTGCGTGTTAACTCCACAGCGGCGTTGCGGTTGACGTTGGACAACAGGCCCAGACAGAAGCGCTCGGAGTTGGAGGGGTCCGTGAAGCCGTCGACTGTCAGCGAGGGCTGTGAGGCGTGGAAGGTCTCTCCTACTCGCTGGTTCAACTCGTAGTAGGAAATAGAGCACCAGAAGGCCGGCTCGCAGTACGTCACTGGCTGAAGGTCTGACACAGAAAGGGATGGAGAAAGACAGTCAAACAGACAGAGAGACCAGTGAATGGAGTGCAACACTGTACATAGTAGGGTGGTTGTTAATAGACGGAAATGTGCAGATTAATAGGAAATTCAAAGCTTGAAATAATACAGGAGGAAACAAACGGGTAACAGGAGACGGGAGTCAAGGTTAACAGAATAAGAGAGGATGCAACCAGAAGAATAATGGTCTAAAAACAGAATACAGTCCCTGACAAAAGTCTTGTCGCTTGGGTACAAGTTGACCTTAAGTGCCCCTCAAATATATTTGTAATCAATTTTTTTTTACAAGAAATGGCTAATTTCAATCCCAACAGCTTTTGAAATAATGTTTTGGTGCCAAACGAAACTGCTGAAAAGCATTCTAACGTTCACAGCTTGGTAAAGCCCACTGAGTCAGTTTTTTCAAAGACAAAAGTCTTGTCGCCTTGTCATATGATGCACCCAATCCTAGATTACAGCCTCACCTGTGATCAATAATTGATCAATCAATTATTGATCAATCAATTAGTGGGTGTGTATAAAAAGAACCCCAGCACACCAGACCTTCACATCAACTGCAACTTGACCTCTGACAACATGCCTAAGATTCACCCTGAGACCAAAGCATTGATTATCAAGAGGCTGAAGACCAGATCCACTGCTGAGGTGGCTGACACCTTCAATGCGTCTCAGCGTCAAGTACAAAGAATAAGAAAAAGATTTGAAGAGACTGGAGATGTTTTTGACAAGCCCAGGTCCGACAGACCCCGCAAGACAACTGCTCGGGAGGACCGTTTGTTGGCTCGAAAATCCAAGGCCAGCCCCTTTTCCACTGCAGCAGAGCTCCACCAGGCCTGGTCACCTCAAGTCCCCGTGTCAACCAGGACAGTTTGTAGAATTCTGTCTCAAAATGGCGTCCATGGTCGATTCAGTGCCCAGAAACCAGCACTAAACAAAAGGCAATTAAAAAAGCGTGTGGCATTTGCCAAGGCCCACAGCCTGCTAAAAGGATGGACGCTGGAAAAGTGGCAGAAGGTGGATTTCTCAGATGAATCTTCGGTTGAATTACATCACAGCCGCCGCAAATATTGCAGGAGACCTACTGGAGCCCGCATGGATCCGAGATTCACCCAGAAAACAGTTAAGTTTGGTGGCGGAAAAATCATGGTCTGGGGTTACATCCAGTATGGGGGTGTGCGAGAGATTTGCAGGGTGGAAGGCAATATCAATATCAATAGCCTAAAATATCAACAAGTATTAGCTACCTCTTACATTCCCAACCATAAAAGGGGTCAAATTTTGCAGCAGGATGGTGCTCCATCGCATACTTCCATCTCTACATCAAAGTTCCTCAAGGCGAAGAAGATCAAGGTGCTCCAGGACTGGCCAGCCCAGTCACCAGACATGAACATCATTGAGCATGTCTGGGGTAGAATGAAAGAGGAAGCATGGACGACGAAACCAAAGAATCTCGATGAACTCTGGGAGGCATGCAAGACTGCTTTCTTTGCTATTCCTGATGACTTCATCAATAAATTGTATGAATCATTGTCGAACCGCATGGATGCAGTCCTTCAAGCTCATGGAAGTCATACAAGATATTAAATATGGATCTCACAGCACCACTACTTAATTCACTGATGTTATGCAACATATTTTTGTATTTGAAGTAACTTATTTGTTCAATTTTCACATTACTCTCTGTAGGCGACAAAACTTTTGTCTTGCCAAAATCTGACCTGTGTTCATTAAATGATCAATCTTTCTTCAGTGAAGCAAATTTATTTTAGTATATTAAACATAATTTGGGAGGGTTTTAGCTTTCATATGAGCTATTTGTAAAACCAATGGATTAATTAAAAGTCAGGTTATAAGCTGTTGTTTCTACAAAATGGATAAGTGCCAAGACTTTTGTCAGGGACTGTAGAAGGGAGAGAAAATGGGCTGAGGTGAATGTAGAGGGGGCAGACAAACACAACCAACGAAAACAGTCTGCGCTTGTGTCACAAAATGTCAAACCCATGCGCCGTTTCCCAGAAGCTTTTCCAGACAAAATGTGGAAACTCAAAGCTCACTGGTGGGACTCTGGAGCCACAAGGATCGAATTACAGGCTTAGCCACGGATAATTTTCAGTAACTTCCAACTGGTTCTGGTAATTTGTTCTTTTTCCCCCTCGACATGGCCACTCTCTAACAACCTCAACATTTATCCTTGGCTTTGACGACGAGAACAGAGCCAAATGAAACCGGTGTGATTTTGTGATTTCATCAGAGGCTTTCCAGCCAAGCCCCCTGGCCTATTTCCATCCTGGTGGAATAAACGTAGGATGTTGTCATTGAAGTTCGTCGGGGCTGAATGGTGTCTTGGCTTGTTTAACGGGGAAGACAAAGGCTCCTTTCATCACCTGGTTTCCTCTTACACAACTGGAGTGAAATCAAACGGAGAATTCCCACTGGGGAGTTACGCTTCTGAAACATTTGTCTGTAAGGGAAGCCAGACAGACAGAAAAGTCCTCTCTCTCACACACACACACACACACACACACACACACACACACACACACACACACACACACACACACACACACACACACACACACACACACACACACAACAACGTACCTAAGTTGTTGGTATGTGTTGGTGAAACGGGGTTAGGCGACAGGTTTGGGGAGCTTGTGTCCATGCTGTGGGTCATCTGGTGATCGCTGGTCTCTCCATCCTCACTGAGGTAGCCGGGTGGTGGCGTTTCTGCACGCAAAAAAACACACGCAACATAAAGACACACACACACACAAGTTGCTGACAAAAGAGGCTCGTAAGTGGTCAAATTATGAACAAAAGAGCAGGTTAACCAATAGGATCCTCTTTGTGGGTAACCCAAAATCAAAGATCCAAACTGTCTGAACAACTACTGGTCCAAAAAAAAAAAAAAAAAAAATCAAATCTTTTTTTAGCAAAGAACTTTGAGTAATAAAGTGATGCATTGCCCGATCCACACTCCTGTATAATGTTGTAACAGCTGAGTGTGAGTCATGTTTGGCAGCATGCTGGTACCTGGTATGTAGTTGCTCTGGGGCTCAATGCCAGCAGGGAAGTTGGTGTTTTCTGGGATTGAATGGCTGTAGTCATCCAGAGGTGGGAACTCGCTGGGGATTTCTGTGTGTCTGGGCACCAGCACTGGTGGGAGTACTGTATAATGCACATAAAGACACACACACAACAAGCAGTTCCTCAGAAGATAGCAAAAGTGATTGGTTTCATGTCTGGGTAATATGAATGAATATGTAATGCAAAGCAATTCAACAACTGAATTATAAAATGATGCAATAAAACAATAAAATAGCACAAAGATAAGCTATAGATAAAAAGTGTGTCTTAGAATAAAGCCAGATCATTCCACAGAAAAGAAAAGATAAATAAATCTGAACAAAGTGTCAAACACCATCCTTAAAATTCTTGGATAAAACTCATGTTAGAACATGATGAAACTATCACTGTGATGGAATCTGAAGAATCAGAGATCAACGCGCTCCATGCTCTCGTACCTGGCGTCTCTACTCTCTGGTAGTGGTACGGGTTGACACACACTTCATCCTTCTTCGTGTGGAAGGCGTACTCGCACAGCTCCACCGCCCGCAGCTCATGGTGGGACTGCAGGTCGGGCCAGCGCCACAGACGGCAGTAGATGACGTGAGGCAAACCTTTTCTGTGGGAGACTTGCAGACGGCCATCCAGAGACCTGCAGAGAGGAGGAGAGGAGGAAGCAGCAGAGGCTGGTCAATGACCTGAAACACTTTGCTTGACATACTGGCTTATGTATACATTTATTCTCATCAAGGTTATGACAAATTTACAAATTATGATACGCAACTTTGACTAGTTATTGATCTGTCTTCCATATCTCCTTTGTGAACTTTTGCCAAATAAAAAACTAAATATTTTTCTCTATCTTAACTTGTATTCTAAGGACTTCAACATGTATTGGTAGTCTCATTTTAAAGATGTTTTGAACAGTCAGCGATGTGGTAATGGTCTCAGGCGGTTGAGCTATGGCACCTCTTTGTTGATTGGTAGTTACAGCCTGTGGCTTTAGCATAAACATGTCTTGATTAAAACTGACACCCGACAAAGGTCCATGACCAAAATGTAAAAATAAACTCACTTGTATGAGAATAAAACCTTTTCTTTCACAGTGTAGTATAATGAATATATTTATAAATAAAGGACATAACACTGATCTTCATATTAGATTCTGTTATAGATATTGTTGTTGTCTGGGCTCTTCCACTGACGAAGGTCCCAGCTGTGTGCCCGCTGCTTATGAGGTCATGTCTAATAATAAACAACCGGCAGTGACATTTCAGGATGTATAAACAGGAATTTCATTATGTTGATGATTTAGGCTGCTGGATAGTAATGAGCGGTAGTTTGACTCTGCAGATTGTCGTAATGGGGATGTAGCCTGTAATCTCTGAGCACAATGACCCAAAAACACACTGATCATCTTATGCAAGAGGCAACGACCACATATGGCCCCTGTGTCTCTGTCTCGCCCACTCACTCTCACACACAAATACAGAGGAAGGGTCAACGGCATAAGCTAAAGCCCTTTAGAAGGACAAATGTCAGTCTCCAAATAAAAACAAGGCCGTGTACCGTTAAACTACTGAAAGCTCAGCGGTGCCTCATCTGGGTCAGCCATAGTAGATCCAGCAAGCAGAGAATAGTGTTTGAATTTTTCATGTCAAAAGCTTTCATTCATCGTCCCTGTACTTAAAAAATGGGCTGGAAAGAATGCGTGTGTGTGTGTGTGTGTGTGTTGGGGGGAGGGCATTTTGCATTTTTAAATGGTGTCTGAGTACTTTAGGAGCACAGAAGTATACAGTTTAAGAGTGAAACTATCACGGGAGGAAAGTTGAAAAACATCCATAAAGCCTAAAAGGGAGAGCTGTAGTGCTGATGCCCACATCACAGAACTGCATCCAGCAGCCTTGTGAGGGTCCACATCTTGTAATAATAAGTCAGAATAATTCAGATGAACTACCCTGCACCTGATAAGCCTATGATCCCCTAAATAGTGAAAGGGGAAACATCTCATGATTGAAAAGCTGCAATTCAGTTGCCAATGTCACAGTTTATAAAAAAAAAAAAAAAAAAGCACCCATGTCTTTGTCCTTTTTAAACATCTTAGTGGTCCAGTAGAGAAGTGGAAGTTGACAGCAAAGCTATCCTCAACCATGAAATGCTATTCTGGCCAATCAATAACACATAAAACAGTTTGTTTTTCAACAAAAACGGTGTCTTGCTCATCGTACAATCGTTTTTTGTTCGAGATGTATTGTGCTGTCTGTTAAAAAGTCATTTTTCAGAGTGAGCCACAGCAACATCATGGAGGTCGTCACTGCTGACACATCAAAAAAAGGGAAGTGAGCAACATAATAATATTACAAATAATAGATCTATCATGTCATGTAAAATGGCTAGGGATGTCTCATGATAACACAGCGTCTGATCACAGACCTCCCAGACTTCAGGCTTTTGAAATCAAGGACAGACAGCGCTTGGCCTACGACTCTGCTTTAGATCTTAGTGTTGAGAGAAAACATTCAACACTGAGAGATCTGGCTGCTTCCACAAGTATATGTGGATACTTACACAGAGTAGACAAATAAACAGGAACACCTCGGGTTATTACGCGATCAAGTTAAACACCCGTCTTTGTAAAGCTAATGCTGATGATCGTGTCAACATGTTTAAAGTTGTAGTGTAATATTTTGTCAAACGTCTGTTTGTGAGGTTCTACATGTGGCAGATGTTCCTCTTTTCTATTTCAGTTTCCCTGTGTTTGGCGTAGGCCTGTATGGTCATGATTTATTGCTGCCGTTTCCCTTTACCACATTCATTGCATCATTTATTTTATGTTTGTGAGAGAGAGTACCGCTGTAAATCGCCTCAAAAGTCACTTAAACATGATTTAAAGCTAATTGATGTTTAACTAACGGACTAAATTTGCAACCTTGTTTTAGGGTTGGAAAAATATAAAAGACAGTTCGTAGCTTACACGCACAATGGCAGCTACAAAAGTGAATCATGAGAAATTGTCCAAAAGTCATGATGACGGGAGGGAAACGCATGAAATGCGTTTTGAGAAGAGGAGCAGTGATCACATGCCGACACCCACGACAAACTGAAAGGAACAAGATATTCAACTAATAAGAGCACCGACTGTGAAAATTAACCAGAATGTTGGAATGATACTAATGCAGCGTTACTGTGGTTCTACTGTAAGGTAGGAGCTCTTTAGATCTGATAAATGCTCAGATGTGTGTTTGACATGCTGATCTGATGTCAGTGGTATGTGTGTGTTTGGTGGCGCTAGACTCTGCGTGGGCTGAGACAGACGAGCACAAACTGCAGAGCATTACTGGCCATTTGGTGTATGACAGTACTCCGTGTCCTTCTCTTTGTGAAGCCCCCGCACAGTAAAGGTATGTCGCTCTAATAAGTTCAATGGCTGAACTGCACACAATGCAGCACAAAAGACTTAAGCAGACACGATGAATATGACTTCATACAGCTGTAGCAGTGACTAGGACCAGTATCACCAAATGCTTAGGCAGAAACCCCCCTCTCTTCTTGTAAACAAATGTGTTTCCTGTTCAGTACATTTCCTTCCTCATAAAACATCTTCAATCTTTCGAATTGCGAATTAGGGCTGCGACTAATGATTATCATGTGATGATCATTAGCGATGAATTTGCCGTTTATTTTCCCAATTAATCGTTTGGTTCATGAAATGGCGATAAATATCCATCACAATTTCAGAGAGCCCACCTCATCAAGTGTCTTTAAAACACAAATATAATTCAATTTAATGTTATGGAAGACAAGAAAAAACAGCAAATAGTCAGATTTGAGACCCTGAAACCACCAAATGTATGATTGAAAAACAACTTGATTAATCAATTATCAAAATATTTGCCTATTCATTTCATGTTGATTCACTAATCAACTAATCTTTGCAGCTCTTTTGTAAATTGTTAACATCCATGTGTGTAGGTGTCCGTACACTCACACACACACACGTATGCTATAGACATGCAATACATTGCTCCATAGCTCTACTTCAAAAAAGGTACCTGGCTTATACCGTACTATTCACACACCACAGCAGTTTACTCTCATGTGTAGTAGTTTTATTAAATGTAAACAATAGCATCAGTCAAAACACAGTCCACATGAAACGCACAGACAGATCCAAAGACACAATATACCTCCCTGACTCTGTATGACTCAGTGTATTGAAGACAGTTATGACTACTGCATGTTGAGTGAACAACTAATGGGAAACAAACTGTAAAAACCACTCCTGCACCGCCATCAAGCCTCAGCCTGTTGTTGAGAGGAAGAGCCAGCAGCACACAAGCAACCTCAAAGCTCAGAGTGCTTCAGGTATGGGGGGGGGGGGACTATGACCCCAAATTCCCTGCTGGGTGGACATGGGGGG